TAGGGAGGTCAGGCTGTGGGGCAGCTGGCAACTCAGCCAGGAGCCCCGTGGAGCAGCAGCGTGGAGTTCCAGCCCCTGCAGCTGGACAGGAGCAAGGGGCCAGCAGCAGCAGCCAAACAGGTCCCAGCAGTCGCGGAGCTTTGGCCTTGGTAGCAGCCATCGATCTGTAGCCTGGGGCGGGGGGGAGGGAGGGTGGGAGCACAACCATGCAGGCAGCAGCGGGGCTGGGCTGGAGCCCTAGCCAGGGGCAGCAGGGATCATGTTGCAAAGGACTTTGCCTTGTCCAGCAAATCCCCTTGTTCGGGACCAGTCAGGCCCCAAGGGTGCTGGACGAGGGAGGTATAATACTTTCATCCTATATAGAAAGTTAGATCTGCAAAGTTGTATAAAATATTAATCAATTAATCCTCAGCATTCCTGGAAGGAAGGTATTACCACTGTTTTAAAGATGAAGGAAGAGACATCTAGGTTGACTTGCCCAAGGCCTCAGAGTAAGTCAGTGCTGAGCCGGGATTAAAAAACTCATGACTTATTATGCCTTGCTTCGTACACAGTCCACTAGACCACATTAATTTCAAGTATTCAGAAGCAATTACATATTGACTTTTGAACATTGACCAATTATTTGCAAAAGCAATTGTGCTCTGGCAGAAATAAATCAAATAGGGAATGAATGACAGTAAAATACTTGCCATGCAAAGGATATCTCTTAAGTCCCTCAAATACACGGTGCAAACAAGTGGGGTTCTGCAGGGGTCTGTTTTGGGACCGGCTCTGTTCAATATCTTCATCAATGATTTAGATATTGGTATAGAAAGTACACTTATTAAGTTTGCAGATGATACCAAGCTGGGAGGGGTTGCGACTAATCTGGAGGACGGGGTCATAATTCAAAATGACCTGGACAAATTGGAGAAATGGTCTGAGGTAAATAGGATGAAATTTAATAAAAACAAATGCAAAGTGCTCCACTTAGCAAGGAACAATCAGTTTCATACATACAGAATGGGAAGCGACTGTCTGGGAAGGAGTACGGCAGAAAGGGAATTAGGGGTTATAGTGGTCAAGTTGAATAAGAGTCAGCAGTGTGATGCTGTTGCAAAGAAAGCCAACATGATTCTGGGATGCATTAACAGGTGTGTTGTAAGCAGGACACGAGAAGTCATTCTTCCGCTCTACTCTGCGCTGGTTAGGCCTCAATTGGAGTATTGTGTTCAGTTCTGAGCACTGCATTTCAAGAAAGATGTGGAGAAATTGGAGAGGGTCCAGAGAAGAGCAACAAGAATGATTAAAGGTCTAGAGTACATGACCTATGAGGGAAGGCTGAAGGAATTAGATTTGTTTAGTTTAGAAAAGAGAAGATTGAGGGGGACAGGATAGCAGTTTTCAGATATCTAAAAGGGTATCAGAAGGAGGAGGGAGAAAACTTGTTCATCTTGGCCTCTGGGGATAGAAGAAGAAAAAAATGGGCTTAAAGTGCAGCAAGGGAGGTTTAGGTTGGACATTAGGAAAAAGTTCCTAACTGTCAGGGTAGTCAAACACTGGAATAAATTGCCCAGGGAGGTTGTACAATCTCCATCTGTGGAGATATTTATGAGTAGGTTAGATAAATGTCTATCAGGGATGGTCTAGACATGAGGGCAGGGGACTGGACTTGATGACCTCTCAAGGTCCCTTCCAGTCCTAGTATTCTATGATAATAGTCTTCTTTTGATGTGCATTTTAGTAGTTAAATTCCTGGACTGTCATTGCACATTACCAGTGCTGTCATATGGGTGAAAATTGGGTAAATATTGCATTTTATTAATATCGGCAGAATTGACTTAAATGGGGCCTTGTATGTTGTGTAGTCTTGCCTTAATCTTTGCATTTATGCCCTTCAGTGTGAAAGAAGCTATTTGTATATATTTGCACATATACAACCACACTTAAGTTGTGGCCTCAGCATGTGCTTTGAGTATCATTGTGGCCCCTGGAGCTTCCAAAGTTGAGTAGCCCTGGTCTAGATGGTGCATGGTTCCGCCATGAGTGCAGGGGACTGAACTTAATGACCTCTTGAGGTTCTTTAAAGTTCTAGGATTCCAATCAGAATCCCAAATCTTAGTTTTGAGTACACAGATGTATCTTCACAAAACAGAATGATTTGTACACAGTTTATAGAACTGAAATAATTTCTTGCATCTTTTTCACTAAAGCTTGCTAAAACTGTCAGGATGCTTATACACTGGAATAAATTGCCTATGGAGGTTGTGAAATCTCTATCATTGGAGATTTTTATCTTACCTACTCTTAAATATCTATCAGGGATGATCTAGATGGTGTTTGGTCCTACCATGAGAGAAGGGGACTAGACTTGATGACCTCTCAAGGTTCCCTCCAGTTTTAATATTGTATGATTCCATGATTTGTGGTGAAACGCTAGGGCTAGGAAGAACTTTTAAAAGTTATGCTTTAGATACTACATATTTTATTAATAGAAAATATACCCACATTGTTCTTTAGCACCTTTGCTGAATGACAGTAACTAATCACAACTTCCTTATGTTTACTACGAGTAACTATTGTGTATGCTCAGATAGGTTTTTTTTTTAATGGAATAATAGAATATGATATTATAGTGGCAGCCTGGTAATGACTGCTATATATAATTAAGTTTTAGGCTAGTACTTCAGTTTCAACCACCCATTTTCACAGATTTTTTAAAAGCTTCTCATTTGAGGCAGAAAGAAACCATTAAAGCTCAGATGTGACTATTTCTGTAAAATTGAAGAAAAATCGATCCTGGTACCTCTCAGCTCTTGGAGAGCATAACAAGAAACTTCACCATTTAGAACTGCATCACCAATAACTTAAAAGTGGCTTAACAAAAACCTTTAATAATTTTGCTTATAAATAGTTCTTACTGAGGAATAGACCCCTTTCCCAGATTTAGTGTGAATGATATTTAAACATTAAATTATTTAAAAGTCAGTTTTGAATATGCTGAATAACATGCTAAAATTTTAGCAGGGCCTAATAAACCATGCCCACATTACTAATTAAGTGTTCCAACTTGGCTTTATGGGGAATTAAAAATGGGGGATTAAAAATGTTTGCTTGAAATATGCTCCATAATTCTAAAAAAATGCAAATTACAGTTGCATCTTTCTATTGCTCTTTCATATATGCAGCTACCATATTAACCCAGCCTGGTAAAAATGTTTTCAGCAGTATGAAATGTATGAGCTCACCTCTCACGGTTCCATTTCAATTAATTTTTATATTTAACTTTGAAACTTAAAATTTAGAATCTTTTATTGAAACAATCTTAAAAAAAAATCACATTTCTGATCAAGTTTATGACTGTTTACCATTGGTACACTTAAGATTACTGTAACAAAGATTAAAGAAAATCATTTTTGTAGTTTTCCTAGTGTGATTACACTGTAGCTGTGTATGTAGCTGGTTTTTCAGATTCACGTGTAAAGCAAGCTAATCCATTCACGCTGTTGCTTATCAGGGCATTTCATACAATGAGGTAAAAGAAAACATATGAAAGCACAAAAATTGAAGGTTTAAGCACCCCAAAACCATTTTTAATTTTAAATATTTTTATTAGCTTTAAAACGTATGGAGTCCCATGAAATGCTAACTAACTCTGGCAGTTTAACCTATCTTCTGCTCACCCATTTGTAGTAAGAATTTAAACAAAAAACCATAAATACAACACTGAAGACTGTTTAAACACAAAAGTCAGAATATATAAAACCTAATGTTTGCATAGTAAAATTAATTTACCTACTTTATATTTTATGATTAGGTAGCCAATTAAATGGATACATAAGTGTATACCATATTTGTAATGTAGGTAAATTAATGTTTACCTATTTTCACATTTCATGACTTATTTTGATACTGACTTGAGATGTACCTGTTATTTTTGGAAGTATTTTTGGAACCTTTGAGATTAAGCAGAAATCTCATTATTTGCATTTATTTAGATAAATGGACAACAAAGTTCTCCATTCATTGTGCTTCATTGCCAATGTCAGAGCAGTTTGTACTTTATACTCCTCTTTAACAATGGTCCTCTAACTACCATATCTATTACTATATCAATGTTCATTCCCACATTGTACTGTAGTTTAGATATGTGTATATTTTAATCTTAGAACATCCTGAACCATTTCCATATACAATTGAAAATTGCCATCTGTGGGAACTAACATTAAATCATATTCATATTCATATTTTAATTATACTACAGACAAAAATGCATTCAAAACAGATCTAGGCATGGACATACAAAATATTTTAAAATAGATATCGAAGATTCTTCCTTAACACATAAATAAAATGTATGCCATATAATATATGAATTATTAGATTTACACATTACAGTCAGTAATTCAACATGATAGAATACTCAGTTCCTGAAAATATTTAACAGAAAAAAATTCTGAACAGGAATGACCTAAGTGTCAAAAAGATCAAAGGATAGTCAGAATAATGTTAGGGAAAATTTTAAAGGCATCTGTGACAAAGGATGTTAGAAAAATTATACTTAAAAATAGAAATGCTAAACTTCTCTTGGTGAATGACATTTCTCACTAATTACATGCTTTTTATTATTGATTGAATAAGTGTTAAGAATTATAGAAAATCATCTGTTGAATCTTTTATTATGAACATAATTTAGTCAAAAGACCTGTCAATTACTCTTACTAAATTTTGTTTCATACTGAAAAATGTAATTTATATTTAATGTAACATTTCCTAATATCTTAATTTAGGAGCAGTTCATTTCAATACCACCAACCAATATCTAAAGTTTAAAATTCATACTTTATTCTGTCTTTTTTACCCCTCAAATAAAACTTCTACACACACACACACACACACACAGACACCAATCCCTGTATTGTAAGGAAATTTTAGGTCAAGAAACACAAAGCAGTGTAAACAGCAGAAAACCCCCAAATCTGAATTTTATAAAGAAACTTCCTTATCAGTCTACATACGTTCTCATCACATCTTGTTCAATCATTGCTCGAAGCTCTTTATCTTGGAAAAATTTGTTCCAAAGACTCTGTAAAAAGACAAAATATTTGCATGAAACAAAAAATACAGGCTGTATCTCCCTGAATAGAGCCCAGGTATAGGGAGGTCAGGCTGTGGGGAGGCTGGCAACTCAGCCAGGAGCCCCGTGGAGCAGCAGCGTGGAGTTCCAGCCCCTGCAGCTGGACAGGAGCAAGGGGCCAGCAGCAGCAGCCACAAAGCTCCAGCCCCAGCTGTGGAGCTCAGCAGCAGCAGTCGCGGAGCTTTGGCCTTGGTAGCAGCCATCGATCTGTAGCCTGGGGCGGGGGGGAGGGAGGGTGGGAGCACAACCATGCAGGCAGCAGCGGGGCTGGGCTGGAGCCCTAGCCAGGGGCAGCAGGGATCATGTTGCAAAGGACTTTGCCTTGTCCAGCAAATCCCCTTGTTCGGGACCAGTCAGGCCCCAAGGGTGCTGGACGAGGGAGGTATAATACTTTCATCCTATATAGAAAGTTAGATCTGCAAAGTTGTATAAAATATTAATCAATTAATCCTCAGCATTCCTGGAAGGAAGGTATTACCACTGTTTTAAAGATGAAGGAAGAGACATCTAGGTTGACTTGCCCAAGGCCTCAGAGTAAGTCAGTGCTGAGCCGGGATTAAAAAACTCATGACTTATTATGCCTTGCTTCGTACACAGTCCACTAGACCACATTAATTTCAAGTATTCAGAAGCAATTACATATTGACTTTTGAACATTGACCAATTATTTGCAAAAGCAATTGTGCTCTGGCAGAAATAAATCAAATAGGGATTAATGTAAAAAATCCCAAATTGAACTATAGTCTGAATCAACTTCAGTGACTTCTGTATCTGTACTTGTGCTCCTCCTCTCAAAAGCTAACCTGAATGAATACTGCTCATTTCAATTTCCAATGCCCCCATCAATGCCATCCAGCTACTGTACTGTCAAAGGAAGTAGAGCGTAAAGCAGACACAGCTCCCATTGTAGCAGTGTGGTAGCTTGAGAATATTGATCAGAGCATAAGAGGGGCAAAAATCCATAGCAGATAACCAGTTTTTTAATTATTTTACTAAACCAGTGTGCTATTCTGTGTCGCAGAGAGATATGAAAGTACATTACACATGTAAAACAAAACATCAAAAGCCAGAAAATAGGGACATCTACACCCTTAACACATTTTATTTTCTGCAAGCAAATCATTACCATGGCATCTTATATGCCACAAGAAAAAAAGGGGAAAGTAAATCAATGTTTGCAGCTGCAGGAGGATAAATCTAGCAGAGAAAGATTTTATTTGTCTTCTATTACTTTTTCTTTAGCTTTTACAAACACTGAAAAAACAAAACAAATATAAAAATATTTAAATGTTTCTCTGATACTGTCCCATCAAGGCTAATACCCTCTCTTTGCCTAATTTAATCTGAATTATACCTATCTGTAGGAGGCTCGATTATAATTTGAGTAAGGCCCTATCAAAGGGTCCTTGCCGACAAGACACTGCAAGAGAACAGGGAAACAGAATCCCCACTGCTAAAAAGGCCCAGGACACCACCAAGGTGTGTTGCATCCAGCTACCATTCGATATAAAGTCATAGGTATTAGAACTAGGGATGCTTCTGCATGCCTGGACTTGAAGTGGTTCCCATTACGTACAGGATTTACAGTTTGGTTCAATAGCTCTCTGAACCCCAGGATAAAAACTGTTCCAAGAACGCCATATAAAAGGATGCACAAATGTGGATTATTGCTGCTATATCCCTCCTTTTGATTTGGCACTGTAAATTTGTGGCATGTATGAACTCACTTTCTGTATGCTCTGCCATACTCACTTTGACCTTTCATTAGCCTTTTCTCATCCACAGTGCAGAAAGGAGGGTTGGAGTCCTTTTGTACAGATTCCAAAGCTTCCATATAACTGGTAATAACATGTGGGTCTCTGGCATGTAAAATCCCTCTGAGTTTTAAGGCTATACATGTTCCTGTTTTCATTATTTGGCTTATGATGTTCAGTTTTATAACTGAATTATCCTTTCAAATGTCTCTTCATACAATGCAGGGGTAAATAATAATAAATTAAAATACATCAATTTTCTGTTATTAATTAGAGAACAAAACAAATGCACAGAACACTACCCTAGCACAAATATCTGCAAAACAGATGCACATTGCATAAATCCAGCCAAAAACCTGAACTTCTCTTGTGAATTGTCATGAATTTAGAAAATCTTAAAACCAAAATTTTCTAAAACCATAACAAGCTGAAAAAATGGTGATTAGCAAAATAGCTTAATGATATACTGCTGTACAATAGACAACGTTACTAAAAATAACAGCCAAGATCTTAAAAAATGGGTGGCAAAAAGTTAAGCTTCTAAATCTAACTGTACACACCTAAAGTTTCAGAGGGATAGCCATGTTAATTGTTTTTTAAGTTTTTCCAGTGACAAACTAATAGTCTTGCAGTACCTAGACAGTCTCTAAAGTGCTACAAAACTATTAGTTGTTTTTTAAGTTTTTCCTGTACACACCTAAGTAATTTGATTTCTAAAGTGCTGGACTCCCAGGGCCACCTGCAAACTTTAATAAGAGTTGCTGGCTACTCAGCACTTTTGAAAATTGGGCCAAATGTGTTTTTCATGTTTTTAATATAACTTTAAATTCTAAGTCTTTCATCTTGCAGGAGTTCCTCAGTGACAATGACTTAATTCTTTTTGCTTGCTGTGACCTATAAAAAACAATCCTTCAAACAAAAAGTACTCAAAACTCTAGAACTCAATCTCTTCTGTACCAGACACCTCTTCCATCCAATAATACAAAGAGCAGAGCGGTTGCTAGTGTTTGACAACTGTAGGGAGTCACAACACTAAAGCAGAGATGCCAAGCCCTAAAATGATGGGTTCATGCAACCTCGTGTGTGAAATCAATTCTTTAAATGACCTCATAGGAGTGGGTACTGATGAGTATAGTTTTCATCACAGTTCTACCTCATCCTCATTATACTAATTTTTAAACCATTAAATGGAAGAGAGTATAACTGTAGCAATTTAATCCATAAATTTGACTGAGATTCTTCATGCATGATAAATCACCAGTAAACCTATAAGTATTTTTCTGGACATCCTATCTAATCAACTTAATTGATATTAATGTACAGCATTTTATAATTTATGTTAGAAAAATAAATAATTATTTTAGTAGGCAGTATTTCTAAATGTACAGCATATCATTTATTCATTTAGCAATAATTTGCTTGCATTTAAAAGTGCAGAAATATTTCAGTAAGAGAGCTTTCTTGATGATATAAATCAAATCATATTATATGGCCAGCCAGGTGTCCAAACTATGAAAGTGGAACCAAATCCCAATACTGATCTCTTGCTCATCAATGCATCAGCAGTTGGGAATGCTGAATACTCACTTCCTGGAAAGGAAGCACTCCCCCAACTCAACAGTATCTCAGTTTAGGAGTGGTACTATACTACTCCCATTTCATTTCTTGGCAATTAGAGAGCTCTTTGTCAATCTGATTATAAACATCAAGATTATTTAATTTGTATCAAACATCGTGCATGCAACAAGTGAGGCTCATCTTACCCCCTCATCCTGTGAAAGTGGATTGTTGATGACCAGATCCTGCTGTCCAGCTTTCCGAGGGTTTGTAATATGCTGAGCGGGTGGAAAACAGAACATGATTTCTACTTTCAGATTTCTCTCATACCAGAAGCACTATTCCAATATCCAGGTACAGATGTGGAGGGTGCATTTTTTCTATTCTACTTACTATTTCTTTAATCTTGTTATACCATGTTCTTAATTTTGAAGTTTTATTTATCCATTGACTTCTGTCTTGTGGTAGAACATTTAGAAACAGCTGTTAAAACAAAAGACGTGTTAGAAAGAGAAGTTTCATCAATGTAATGTAATTTTCTAAATAAAAGTCCTCTAGAACAGTCTAAATCATCTCACAGATGAGAAGCAGTATTAAAAAATTAAAATTCTCTCTACATGAGGATGATACAGTGAAAAACCTAGAAGTGATAAGTTCTGAGTCCTGGTAAAGTTCCAAAAGCAACTGATAGAAACTAAGATACAACATAGAAGTACAGCAACAATCTATAGAACAAAATCTTAGCTGCTATAAATTGTGAGAGCTCCATCAAAATCAATGAACCTATTGATAATTTACATCAGCTGAGGACCTGCCTCACCAGATTCAGGTTCCCAAAGCTGATTTAAAAATATAGGAAGAGACCAAAGTAGAAAAATGAAAGTTTGGAGCTGCAGACACAGCATGAATAGAGATGTAACATATTTACAAACAGATTATAGAAGAAAACCTAGCCATTGAAAAAATATATTCTGCTTGGGATAATCTGGAAAGAAAACTGAGGACAAAAAAAGAACATCCTCCACTGTTCTTTGAGGTAGTTTACAGGCTTGATTTTGCAAGATGAGGTCTAGAAAATATCTAGTTTAGCGATGGATGACCAAGATTAGTGAGTAGTCTGCATGAGGAGTCTTCCTTTATCTCAGTGGCCGCAAGATTAAAATCTTGAATGTGAAAATTTAACCATGACCCCAAGAATGCTTTGTGGTATTCAAGCTCTAGGAGGAAGGGTGAGGGAGGACCAGAGGCGCAAACCAGCTGATTCGCAATGCTTCGGAAGTACTGGGAAGAAGGGGGAGAACTAGGTAAGTATGGGGCCTCCAACACATGAGAAGCACAGGGAGAAGAGACAGAGGGGGCAGTGTATGCAGGCTGTACATAGAAAACCAGATGGTCTACATGGGCTGCAGGTTGTCCACCAATGATCTAGTAAGGTCTGAATTTTAAAGGAAAAATGTTTTTACATTTCTGTATAGGAAAATCAGTCACAAGGATGTAAATCGCACCCCCACCTTCCAAATTGAGAAAGATTATCTGCACTGACTTAAGATATGAAGAAACAGTAGTATTTTTGCTCATTTTAAAAAAAAGTTAAACATTGTAAACTATTCTTAAAATAGTTAGGAGATGTTAACAGGAACAAAAAATCCCCACAAATAATTATTTTTAAGAATAATACTAAGAACTTAATAAAAACTTTGACCAACATTTTAAAACATGCCAAATTCGGCACCTAACTCCATATACTGTCACTTCAAATTAAAATGGCCTAATTTTAAGAGGAGTTTAGCATCTCTGAAAATTAGGCTATTTTAATGCAGACAGCTAAAAGTGGATTAGGCTGGTGTAAAAATGTGTGTACGCAAATCATATGGCAGCCCTTCCTGGAGAAAAATATTTGTGATAGACTGTAAAACTGTTTACCATTATGTATTACGCACATTCAAGTTCTTACTTCTCTCTCTTTCAGTAGGTCTCATGCTAATGTCAAGCTGAAACACTTCCACTTGAAGTGAAGTAACATCAAGTGTATTGGGGAACACGTTCTTGTCCACCAGAGGGAGAAAGCCCTGACCTCTTTACAACACATTACTTTCAATTTCTATCTTGCGTACCTACAATATTATTTATTTTGCCAAAAAAAGGTAAGAGACTTCTGATGCCCCTTATTGTTTTCCATGAGTGGAAGTTCCTACTTTATCCAAAATTACAAAAAAGGCTGTTAGACCCCTAAATTTCTCTTTTCTATTGGGAAATATTCTGCAGTTGCTGCTTATGGAGAGGCAGCATGTAGGTTGTAAACAAGTCGAAGTTAGTCCGTAAAATAAAAATGAGGCAAAAGTTGCCCTTTTCACTCAATAAGCATGTTTTAAGTGTAAAAAATACTCTGATGAAACATGGGTGTGTCACACGGAATTGTACACAAAAAATAAAATGCTATGCAACAAAGATAGCAAGGATTTATATGAAAAACTATCATCAGCAATTCAGCTTTAAGGCACCCTCAGTATGATTAGCAAATGTCCTCTGAATTATAAAATGGCTAGGAAAACATTGGAATGAAGTCTCTTGGAAAATTCAGTGATTCTTTGCATCAATAATTTTCCAGCGCATCAGGTAATGTGTTGATCTATTGCAACCACAAACTGTAAATAAATATTTTCTTCTTACCTTCCAGCAAACACTACGGAACCTGCTGCTTCTCAGCTGCCCATTAATCCCCTTCAGCCGTATTGTTGCCAAGTAATTGTTGTTTACAAATAGTTCTTCCCATTCTTTACTACATGAAAGGAAAGAAGGAATTAATGTTATTAAAAACCCTCAGCTGACTTAAGGGCTATATCACACTAAGTAATTTTGGATAAGCAGAAGGAAAGGAACTCTTTAAATGTATATATTTAGTTGTGTACTGTTTCTAAACGCATGGCTGTCTTTTTGGACACATCTCTTCTCTGGATTTAATGAATATGTAGATCGCTATAATTATGCCAGCAACTGAAATTCATAATGTCTGTGGAGGCTATTCCATTTCCTCGAAAATGTTGGTACTGCAGTTCAGTGAATAAACAAGAAAAATGAATATTAATATAAGCACATTCATGTTTCAGCCATAGACAAAGATGTGCCTATTCCAAAAATATGAAACAGAAAAGTATACTGTTGACGGTATTACTTCCTCACATGACATATTTGCATAAATGAACCTTCTTTTCTTCTTAATGTCAAGCTGGGCAGTTAAGCATAATAGAAGATGACTTTCTTTAACATTTAGTGCTATTTACTATTGAAATCACTTCAACTTCTTTCTACATGATCAGTTTTAAAATTTTAACAGGTGCTAGCAAATTTAAAAAAACATCAAAAAATTAAAAAGCTTCACTGTATAAACTGTTAAAGGCAAGCTTGAGTACCTTGCAGTACCTATGGCTGACTAGATAAACAACCTAAATATGCCTCCCAGGCATGCAGACACCAGGGGCCTAACACCTGTGCCTCATTAATATACAAGTAAATCTGCTCTGCTGGGAAACAATTGGAAATTAATTGTCCCAAACCATTTACTGAGTTTGAATAAAAGAATGAGATCTATAATTCCTACCTTTTCCTCTGAATTGAATCTCAAGAATACTACTAGCCACTTGATGATCTAACCAAAGTAACCCAGACGTCCTCTGAAATTTTTCCTAAAGTATCGCAGTAATTTCACTATAAATCATTCGGGGCACATTTAGGGGCATATGTGGCTCAGCAGCATGTTGCTGTTTTGAAAGTTGTGTCTTTAAGTTAAAATATCCCTTTTCCATTTTCTCTTAGGAGAATCACTTGGTTTCCTAGGAAGAAACTAACCCAGAAATGGAGGAGAAATTCTTAATCTCAGGGTGTGATCCTCAGATCTCACTTGTCTAAAGAGGGTCAGGATAGTCAGGCAGGTGCTGCTATAAGAACTCCTTTCCTCCCAATTCCCTTGAGATTATCCTGAACAAATATCCCAAACATGATGGTCAGGGCACTATGCAGGTGAAGATGTCAGCTTTTAACTAAGAAGAGTTGAATTTCTCCATAAAAGAAGACGGTTGTGTTCACAAAAGGTCATGATACTAGATAAACAAATAAATAAATAAATATATAAATTTATTTATTTGTCTCTAAGGTGTTACAGAACCACTCTTTTTTAAAAAATGTTTCCCAGGGTAAGGATTTATATTTAGGCCTACTTCCTGGGCTGCAGCTAAGTACCTGAGCAAAATTTGGGGCGGTATGTGAAGACCGGCTTAAAAAAAATCTTTGGACTCGTCCAATTTTGATCTGTCTGGGTTACAGGTTGATTTAACTTGTACCATCTGCCAACAGCCTCAAGAGGTGCATAGGGCAGCAGATTGCCCAGGTGATTGCGAGTGGAAGCTGTGGCCCCTAATCTGTCACTAGAAGGGGGTATGAGTTTACAAAAGTCACTGCTTTTATAGAGAAGACGTATTCCATTTTTCTTGGTGTAACTAAATTCTGAAGACATGTTTTTAACAGGCCTACAACAAAGTGGTTGAAGCAGAAATCTGGCAAATACGTAAGCCATACCCTTTTGTCCCTGAGGAAACACTAAAAAAAAAAGGGTTTTGGTCTGACCCAGTATAGCCACTCTCAGGGCTCGCCGAACTGCGGCGAGTCCCGCTCGCCAGCCGCACTGTCCAACGATCTGCGCATGCACAGATCGTTCTGTGCATGCGCAGATCGCCCAAACCCGGCTCTTCCGGGTTGCAATCTACTCGCTGTGGGCGAGCAGATGGCATTATCTGTCAAACCCTGGCCATTCTTATGCTTTGGCTCTATACCAGAGGACCTTGCCTCTATGCCGGTTATTCTGGCTTTAGAGTGGCTTTGTGCTGCATATGTGAAGTGGACACACAGACCCGCTGTCCCAGCCAAATTTAAATGTGGGTAACTATAGTATTCTGACTTCCTAGATTCCCCTATGGTTTCTATTGGATGCAATACTCTTCATTTCCTATCATAACAAGTTTTGTAGCATCACTGGAGCCATTAGAACAGATACCAAGTAGGTCTCATTATATACACATTATATATTTTCAGACATTATATATTGTCAGACATTATATATTTTCACTGACATGGCAATATTTGCTGACTTAATATTACATGTAAACAAGTGTAACTAAGAACAGAATCTGTTCTAATATGTTTATTACAGAAGTTACCAGTGGTCACTGTTTGACAGTAGCTAATTTTTTTTAAGTCTCTCTATACCTTGGATTTCAAATACTAGTAAAACTTCCAAAGCATTCCCTTCCTTTTGTGACAAAAATTTTGAGACTTGGTCTAAACTTGGAAAATTTGAGCAAAATGACTTCAACCATTGGAGTTAGAGTGGAAATTTTACATTTTTCTCGATGTAACTAAATTCTGAAGACATGCTTTCAGTAGGCCTACAGTAAAGTGGCTAAAGAGGAAATCTGGCAAGTACATAATCCACACCCTGTTGGTCCATTTGGAAACACTACAAAAGTTATAAGCAACTAAAAAAATATTTTAAGCAGAATCAATAACTGAGTTTAACTAAATCTTGCCCCTACTTGACATTACTCAACAATGCTATTTGACCAGCTAAGAATATGCAAGACATTTTATATGATGGGAACTTTACATTTACTTTGAAACTGAACATAAAATAAGCCAGGAAAACTATATCAAAGACAAAAGTGATGGGGAGTCCTGTGGCATCTTACATACTAACAGATATAACGGAGCATAAGCTTTCTTGGGCAAAGACCCACTTCGTCAGATGCATGTAGTGGAAATTCCAGAGGCAGGTATAAATGTACAGGCATAAGAAAAGAGTACCAATCAAGAGTAAGGCTAGAGATAACAAGGTCAATTCAGTCATGGAGGATGAAGCCCATTTCTAGCAGTGGATGTGGAGGTGTGAATACCAAGGGTATGTCTAGACTGCATCCCTCTGTTGGCAGAGGAATGCAGATTAGGCAGGTCGACATTGCAAATGAGGCAGGAATTTAAATATTCCGTGCCTAATTTGCATAAAAATGCCTGCCACGTTTTGCCGACTCAGCACTTTGCCAGCAAAAAGGCGCAGTCTAGAGGGGGATCTGTCGAGAAAGAAAGCTTTTTTTCGACAGATCCTATAAACCTCCTTGCAGGAGGAATAAGGGATCGGTCGAAAAAGGCTTTCTTTCTCGACAGATCCCACTCTAGACAGCCACTTTTTGCTGACAAAGTGCTGAGTCCGCAAAACATGACAGCTATTTTTATGCAAATTAGGCACGGGATATTTAAATCCCTGCCTCATTTGCAATGTCGACCTGCCTAATCTGCATCTCTCTGCCGCCAGCAGGATGCAGTCTAGACATACCACAAGAGAGGAGAAACTGCTTCTGTAGTTGGCTAGCCATTCACAGTCTTTGTTTAATCCTAACGGAGGGTATCAAATTTTCAGATGAACTGTAGCTCAGCAGTTTCTCTTTGAAGACTGTTCTTGAAGTTTTTTTGTTGAAGGATGACTACCTTTAAATCTGCTTCTGTGTGTCCAGGGAGATTGAAGTGTTCTCCTACAGGTTTTTGTATATTACCATTCCTGATATCTGATTTGTGTCCGTTTATTCTTTTACGTAGGGACTGTCCAGTTTGGCCGATGTATATAGCAGAGGGGCATTGCTGTCACATAATGGCGTATATTACATTGGTAGATGTGCAGGTAAATGAACCTATGATGGTGTGTCTGATCTGCTTAGGTCCTGTGATGGTGTCACTGGTGTAGATATGTGGGCAGAGTTGGCACCGAGGTTTGTTGCAGGGATTAGTTCCTGAGTTAGAGTTACCGTGGCATGGTGTATAGTTGCTGGTGAGAATTTGCTTCAGGTTGGTAGGTTGCCTGTGGGCAAGGATTGGTCTGACTCCCAAAGCCTGTGAAAGTGAGGGATCATTGTCCAGGATGGGTTTTCTATAAGGTGCCACAGGACTCCCCGTCGCTTTTGCAGATTCAGACTAACACTAAGGGTGTGTCTAAACTACTGAGTTTTGTCGACAAAAGTGGACTTTTGTCGACAAAACTATACCAGCGTCTACACTACCCCCCGAATGTCGACAGAACTCAGCAGTTTTTTCGACGCTGGTAAACCTCATTTTACGAGGCATAGCACCTTCTGTCGACAGAAGGTGTTATTGCCTATAAGGTTGCGTCTAGACTACAGGGTTCTGTTGACAAAGCAGCTTGCTTTGTCGACAGAACTCAATGTGTCTGGATGCTCTTTGTCGACAGAAATTTTGTCGACAGATATTGTCGACAAAACTTCTGTCGACAAAACCCGGTAGTCTAGACGTACCCTAATACTAGATCAGAAGCAGATGATGATAAAGTGTTTATAAAAAATCATAAATCCCACAATTGTATTGCTTACTTACAATACTGGCTGCATTCTATAATACAACAAATTACTGAGCTTTGATTTTTACTTTTTCCCCCCCAAAGATGGGTGTGTGTGTGTGTGTGTGTGTGTGTGTGTGTGTGTGTGTGTGTGTGTGTGTGTATATATATATCCTCTGCAATGTAAACTCACATACAGGCGCTCCATTAACCCAAGTTAGCAGAAAATCTGCAAGTCAATCTGAAATGAGCAATGAGGAATGGAACTCAGGACTACCAAGTCCTATTTCCTTCACAGAATCTAAAGAACCAGTTGGAAAAATTGAAACTTAATAAGCAGAAGCAACTGTGTATATGAATAGGAGTGCCCTTTGTAACGCAAAGGAAGT